TATCTTGCAAATCAAACGCAGCATCCAAGTCTCTACAGACATGGCAGTTTGCAAGGATAGAAATCTACAGAGCAGTATAATGAATATCAAACCAGGTTTAGTTGTCCTTTTTTTTTTTTTTTTACTTCTGGTCTTTGTTTCTTATCCCTTTTCTCGACTTTGCATAATATTTCTTGTTCTGAAATGGAATAGTGTGACAGATACATTTGTTTGCATTTGGAAAAGCCTCTATAAGTGGGGTGAAATTTCACCAAATTGTGACTGTAGGTCTGAAAAACAAACTATCCAACATTTAGTGTCAGAGTACTAAAACACAGCCTATGATTTCTTGGATGTGACAAATGAAGCAAAAATTTATATCTGTAATCTAGGCATACATTTATAGTACAGGTAGTCCTCAACTTATAGCAATTCGCTTAGTGACCATTTGAAGTTACAATGGCACTGAAAAAAGGTGATTTATGACCATCTTTCTCACTTATGACCATTGCAGCATCCCCGAGGTCACGTGATCAAAATTCAGATGTTTGACAACTGGGTTCATATTTATGACGGTCGCAGCGTCCCGGGGTCATGTGATCCCCTTTCGTGACCTTCTGACAAGCAAAGTCAATGGGGGGAAGCCAGATTCGCTTAACAACCGTGTTACTAACTTAACAACTGCAGTGATTCACTTAACAAATGTGGCATGAAAAGTCGTAAAATGGGACAAAACTCACTTAACAAATTTCTCACTTAGCAACATAAATTCTGGGCTCAACTGGGGCCATAAGTTGAGGACTACCTGTATTTTAGATTTTATACTTCATATTTAGTATTCTTATTGCAGGATCCAATTTGGGTTGGTCACCGGGACCAGAGGTTTTTGTCTTCCAAGCTTTCAAAGTCATGCAGGAGCCCATCCTCAGAGAACGTCTCTCTAGCCCGGTGACCGACCCAGATTGGATCCTGCAACATTATCCTGGGACACGTATATTTGCCTTCATACGTTAGTATTTTTATTTCTTGTGTTTCTGTTGAAATGTGGTGTGAATGTGCCCTGAGGTAAATAAGTGGGTGGAAAGCTCTCTCCCATTTCCTTCTCTCTAACTGTTTTTCGACACCAAGGAACTTACGATGCACATGTCAGGTTAGAAAGCCACAAATCATGTGGTGAGGACACGCATCCTCAATTTCATCACATTTCTGCTCCTGAGTTGTAATCCTCTTGGCTGCCTCTGGGCACGGCTGCATAATTATTCTCGTCACTTCCTGACGAATGTTGCGAGAGCTGTTTTTGTTTACTTCTTACAATCCCTAGTTTCTTCAGAAGAGTCTCTGAGTATCCAATGACTTCAGCTAAAACTGAAAAACGACAAACCAGGTTAAATGTGGTTAGGATTGTGAGGAGAAACCCAACAGGAAATACAGGGCAGTCCTCAACTTTCAACAGTCCATTTAGTGACTGAAGTTACAATGGCACTGAAAAAAGGTGATGTCAACGCTGCTAACATCGAATGTTCTTGCTTTGAAAACATATGGAGATGCAGCCATTTTCCTTAACTTGTGTATTACTCTTAGAGTTAGAATTAGATGATACTGGGGGGGAGGAGGAAGAATGTGTATGGGAATTAGTTAGACATAACAAGATGGTAGTAGTGTGTGATTCAAGCTTGTTTGAAATAAGAGTTGATAAGAAGTGGCGGGTTGGAGATCTGGTGGGAAAGTCTGCATTTCAAACTAATTGGAGAATGTGATTTATGACCATAAAGTAGAGGAGGGAATTATGCTTTGATACTGTGTGTTCAGGGGAGGGGAATCCAGATTTTGGCTTTGACTATGTACGTGCCAATGCCATGCCACTCGAATAAAGATTCTTTAAGATAAACAATGCCTCAAAGTTCTTTGAAGAGTTTCATCAGTCCGAACCATGACAGGTGACTTATGATCATCTTTCCCACTTATGACCATTGTAGCATCCCCGTGGTCACGTGATCAAAATTCAATGTTTGACAACTGGTTCATATTTATGACGGTTGCAGCATCCCAGTGTCACATGATCCCCTTTTGCAACCTTCTGACAAGCAAAGTCAATGGGGAAGCCAAAGTCGCTTAACCATGTCACTAACTTAACAACCGCAGTTGTTCACTTAACAACAGTGGCAAGAAAAGTTGTAAAATGGGGCAAAACTCCCTTAATAAATGTACACTGAGCAATAGAAATTGTGGGATCCATAGTGGTCGTAAGTCGAGGACTACCTCTACCCAAAGTGCTAGATTGGAAAGTTGGGAAAAATCCTTAAAAAGGCAAATTATTTCCATATTGTTTTCAAAAATTGTAACTGTCCATGAAGTCGCCAGGGATCAAACTCAGTTTGACTTTCTTTAAAAAAATAAATAAAAGAATCTTGACTCTATTTAGCTTCTTGGTTGCTTGTAAAAAGGGTGTGTATGCCTGTGTATCTGTGTATTTACACACACCCACACACAACAAAATAAATTGCCATCATTTTTATTTCCAAGACAGTCTCTCTGAATATTTATCAATGATATCCTTAGGTGAAAGGATTAAAATAAAAATAATGGGTGGACGTGTTGCTGGGAACTGGGACTCTTCTCCCAAAAAAAATAACAGAATAACAGAGCTGAAGGGACCTTTGAGGTCTTCTGGTTCAACCTAGTCCAACCCCCTGCTCAAGCAGGAGACCCTAAACCAGGGATAGGCAACCTTGGCTCTTTTATGACTCGTGGACTTCAACTCCCAGAATTCCTGAGCCAGTCATGCTGAGGGGAAAGGAAGAGGTTTTCAGGCTGAGCCATGCTGGCTTAGGAATTCTGGGAGTTGAAGTCCACAAGTCAAAAAAGAGCCAAGGTTGCCTACCCCTGCCCTAAACCATTCTGGACAAGTGGCTTTCCAATCTCTTCTTATAAACATCCAGCAATGGAGCACCCTCAACTTGTGGAGGCAAGTTGTTCCACTGATTAATTGTTCAGGAAGTTTCTCCTTAATTCTAGGTTGGATCACTCCTTGATACGTTTCCATCATTTACTTCTTGTCTGTAAATATGTAAATAATTCAGAGAGGAGCAGGAGACGCCTATATTATGTATGCAGATATAGTCTCCTGTTTTATCATTTGGGAAGTTGTATTAACTGACTTACATGCTTCAGGTCAGGAACAATCTTGGTTTTTATTATCCTGTGATTGGCTCTTCCCACTTTGAGATTAATAGGTAGAATATAAGTGCTTTAAATCAGTATTAGATCTGATTGGATTGCGGAATAGTTAAGCATGATGCACTTGTCTCCAAAAACATGGTTAATACTTCCTGGAAAACATCCAGGGACAAACAAACGTCCTGCAGAAACTAGGCTACCTAAATTTAAATGTCATTAAAATTCATAGGACAAGTTGCGCAAACAGCCAGGAGTTTGGGAAGAAATCTTAAATAAGATGAGAATTTTTATTAACATCTTTTCTTTTTAGTCTGTGGATTTTGAAGTCAGCAGTCAAGTATAGAGACAGCTCATTATTTTTTACCCATCTATTTCATACTCTTCCTTCGGTGGATAATTCCTTGTTGAGCAAAGTCTATGTTCAGTATGATGCATATACAGCTGGTCCTCATTTAGCAACAATTGGTTCTGATGACCTGGTCACTGAATGAAGCAGCTGCTAAGTGAAAAATCACATAAACATCACAGCGCTTAAGGTTTTACTTCAGCTTTGCTTTGCTTTACAGCATCAAAAAGATACAACCTCAAAGAGCTGTGGGAACCCAAATGTTGGGGAAGGTTTCCAGGAAATTTATACAGAGGCACGACTGAGAACGTTTTAACAAACTGCATCACTGTCTGGTTTGGTGGTAGCAGTGCCTCAGATAGAAGGTCCATACAGAGAGTGGTAAGGACAGCTGAGATTATAGGAAGCTCTCTTCCCATTATTCAGGATACTGCTTACAAGTGCTATGTGCTATGTGCTTAGAGCTCGAAGCATTGTTAGAGACCCCACACATCCACTTCATGGTCTGTTTCTGTTGCTCCTCTCTGGGAGGAGGTTTCTAAGTATTTATAGCAGAACTACTAGGTTCTGCAACAGCTTTGTTCCTTATGCCATCCGTCTTGAAAATTTTCAGGATTCTTTTTTCCCCGCCATGTATATGTTTACATCCGAATTAGACTGTGATGTTTCTCTGTGTCATATATGTGTGTGTGGGGGGGTATATGTATAATGGTATTTTTTTGAGAGCTGAATGCAACAAAATTTCATTTTAATGTATGCTGATAGTGTACATTTAAAGTAACTATAAAATTTCTATTCTATTCTATTCTATTCTATATTCTACTCTAACTCAACTCACAAGATAACTGGGTAAAAGGGCAAATACTATAGTCCTCTTTCTCTAAGCTCTTGCCCTTTGGAATGCTCATGATAATGTGATCATGAAAGATGTGATCATTAACCAGAAGAGAATTGATATTTGTATTTACATTCATTGGAGAGGAAGGGATTGTAAGAGAGTAAGTAGTCAATGAGGAACATACATCAAAAGGAATGGCAAGCGTTGGTTGCACTTAGGAGACAAAAATAAGCCTTTTGTGTGAAACTGATTAGGGTCTAGTTAGTTTCATATAGCAGCACAAGCTGGTTGGAAAGTTCTTTAATTAATCTAAATCATAGAACTGAGCTTATTAAATCATAGAACTGAGCTTAGCACTCTAGGGTTGTTAAAAAAGCAGCTCAGAAAGAGATAGTTTGTTTAGGCCATTTCTCTGATCTGAGTTGGGGAGAGGAAAAAAACAGATCAGGCACAGGTCAATGTACCTCTAAATTCAACAGTCCTCTTTTCCCACAGAATTGCTCTCAAACCTAAGTTCATCTGTTTGTTCAAACTGCTGAAATTATTGGAAAAATGGCTTCCACATTCAAATACACATCCAATCTAGGTTGCAGGAACTCATATGCAAATGCTTATTTCCACTCAAGAATTCTACAAATCAAAATAAGACAATGAAAATATAGGAAAAAATACTTGGGAGAGCTGTATTATTACCACATGTTAGTTAGCCTTTTAAATGTACTGTATAAAATGTGGAGATCTGATCTTAGAAATTCCATAATCAGACAACCCAAACGCGGGACAAAGGGAGATCGGAACAAACTGTGCCTGTTGAGAATGACAAATTAAAATTTGTCATTCCCAACCACAGCTCTCAAAAATATTTTAAAACAATGCAACAATTGAATCTGGTCTTTGAAGCTGTAAATAGTCATTGCAGCTGTTTTCCCAAGAGACAACACATGCTAAGGAAGACGAGGGACAAAAAGTGTTCGTACAGTGGTTTTTTTTTTTCTATTATTTTTCTGGTTGCCATTGATCCCTCGACTGAGTACAGAGGCTGGAAAGGTACATTACTTCTCTTGTCTTCTGTTCTTTAGTGCACTCAATCCAGAATTTTTTCATCCACACTGACCTCCCTGGGTCAAGCTATTATTATACCAATGGAGATGTGAGAACTCAGCTTGTCCAGGACTATCAGATTACACTGCTGGCTAAATGAAAATGTAATCACAAACTTTCAAAGTACCCAGGCAGGCATCACGGTTTCTACGGTAACAGGCAGCCTCTCCGGTGGCGGTTTAAAATATTTTTCAGTGGAGACCATTTTTGCTTTCATGGAGAACCGTCAGCTGCTAAGAAATCCAGCAATTAAAAAGGATCGTTTTTAAACACCGAGGAACATAAAAAATGGCTGTGCTGAGGTAAATCCTTGGACTCTTCTCTTTCGTTCTCACGAGTAAAGAATTTGGAGGCAGTTCTTCCTGAAACTGAGAAAACGTCAGGAGAGTACCAAAAACACAAAATACAGATAGTCCTCGACTCATAACCATTTGTTCAATGACCGTTCAAAGTTACAATGGCACTGAAAAAAGTGACTTAAGACTGTTTTTCATACGACCGTTGCAGCATCCCCATTAGGTCAGGTGATCAAAATTCAGATGTTTGACAACTGGTTCATATTTATGACGGTTGCAGTGTCTCGGGGTCATGTGATCCCCTTTCGTGACCCTTCTGGCAAGCAAAGTTAACGGGGATTCACTTTACAACCATGTTATTGACAACCGCAGTGGTTCACTTAACAAGAGTGCCAAAAAGGTCATAAAGTGGGGCCAAACTCACTGAACAACTGTTTCGCTTAGCAATGGAAATTTTGGTCTCAACTGTGGTCATTAAGTCCAGAACTACCTGTAGAAAAGACACATTAACGATCTAGTCAGTAAATAAGAAATAAATATGGATTCTTGAGAAATGGGAAAAAGTACAGCTGAGAGGCAAAATGCCTTACCTCCAATCGCTGGGGATTATTCTGAATCAGTCTTCCTCCACTAACTCAACCAGCAGAGCTTTTCTCTTGACCTGAGAACCTTCCTGATAAAGAACTTTCTTTATTATCCCTGCGTTGGGAGCCCGGATGATATGCTGCAGACAAAAGATATGCTACTGGTTTAGTCCACATAGTTTCAAAGGCACATTATGTACATCTTAATTCCAAATTTGAAATGACTTCAGGATCGAACCCAACAGAATTCATGTCCTAAACCAGGGGTCTCCAAACTTGACAGCTTTTAAGACGTGGACTTCACGCTGGCTGATGAATTCTGTTAGTTGAAATCCACAAGTCTTAAAGCTGCCAAGTTTGAAGATCCCTGGCCCAAACCGACGACTATCTTCTCTAATAAAAATGTGAAGCTTTCAAGAGAAGTTTTAATTTTAAATTAAGACATGCTTGGTGAGGCTGCCATCCCAATGCATCCTGGAACATCATCCGTAGCAGAGTTCCTCCACCTCAACCACTTTAAGGTCCTCCAACTCTCAAGATTCTTACCCATCTTGAAGTTGGCGAGGCTGAGAAACACTCATCTGTAAGTACTTCTTGACTTGCGACCACTCAAAGCTACAATGGACCCCCAGTACTTATAACTCAGTTTCAAATGTCTGAGGTTGGGCCTCCCCTGCAGTCGGGTCATGCAATCGCACGAGTCATTTATCACACAGTCAATTTATGGCCGTTTGCAGCACACCAGTCAAGTCATCCTGATTTTCCATGATTTTGCAGCATTTACGACCGGTTTCTGACAAAAACCAGTCCGTAGCAAGCAATGGGTTTGTTTAACAAGTGTGGCATTCACTTAATGACCACCAAAAAAAAGGTTGCAAAATTGGTTCTGGTTACGTGGTCACCAACTTATTACCGGCATGACTTACAACCATGATTGCCAAGCTAAAGTACAATGATAAGCAAAGGACTTTGTTGTTGTTAGTTGCAAAGTTGTGTCCGACCCATCGCGACCCCATGGACAACGTTCCTCCAGGCCTTCCTGTCCTCTACCATCTTCTGGAGTCCCTTTAAGCTCATGCCTACTGCTTTAGTGACTCCATCCAGCCACCTCATTCTCTGTCGTCCCCTTCTTCTATTGCCCTCAATCTTCTCCAGTGAGTCCTTCCTTCTCATTAGGTGGCCAAAGTACTTGAGTTTCAACTTCAGGATCTGGCCTTCTATAGAGCAGTCAGGGTTGATCTCCTCTAGGACTGACCAGTTTGAATGCCTTGCAGTCCAGGGGACTCGCAGGGGTCTTCTCCAGCACCATAGTTCAAAGGCCTCAATTCTTTGGCGCTCAGCCTTTCTTATGGTTCAACTTTCACAGCCATACATTGCATCTGGGAAAACCATGGCCTTGACTATACGTACTTTTGTTGGCAGGGTGATGTCTCTGCTTTTTAGTATGCTGTACTAGAGTTGCCATAGCTTTCCTCCCCAGGAGCAAGCGTCTTTTAATTTCTTGGCTGCAGTCCCCATCTGCGGTGATCTTGGAGCCCAGGAAGATAAAATCTGTCACTACCTCCATTTCTTCCCCATCTATTTGCCAGGAATTGAGAGGGCCGGATGCCATGTCAAGGACTACATGTATAGATGTTATCTCTCCAATGGCAAAGAAGGCCCTGACTTTGGAAAACTCACACGGAATTCATCCCCTGCTTGTTTTGAGACTACATGATTTCATTTCCAATGCAATTTTGTCATGTCTTAGACTACAGCTGGCATAATTCCCTTCTACAAGTAGTCTTTGGCTTATAAGACAGTAAGCCGAAAACATCAGAAGTGTACCAAAAAGAAAAAATACAGATAGTCCTCGGCTTATAACCATTTGTTCAGTGACAGTTCAAAGTTACAATGGCACTGAAAAAAAAGGGACTTAAGACTGTTTTTCATACGATTGCTGCAGCATCCCCATGGGTCACGTGATCAAAATTCAGACGTTTGGCAACTGGTTCATATTTATGACGGTTGGAGTGTCTCGGGGTCATGTGACCCCCTTTTGTGACCCTTCTGACAAGCAAAGTCAATGGGAAAGCCAGATTCACTTAACAGCTCTGTTACTAACTTAACATGTGCAGTGATCCGCTTAACAACCGTGGCACGAAAGGTCGTTAAAATGGAGCAAAAAGAAAAAAAATCACTAAACGAATGTTTCACTTAGCGACAAAAAATTGGGGCTCAAGTGTGGTCCTAAGTCAAGGGCAACCTGTCCTGACTGTCCTGACTGGATACAGTGCAGTGTTTCCCAATATTGCCTATTTTACGATGTGTGGACTTCAACTCCCAGAATATCCCAACCAGCATTGTTGACGGGTATTCTGGGAGTTAAAGTTCACACATCATAAAATGGTTAAGGTTGGGAAACAATAGTACAGTAGAACTTTTCTCCAACCTATGGAGAAAGCTATAGTATATTTTGAAAGATCATCCAACGTTTCCAATATCTCAGGGGCTGCCACAAAGAAGAGGGAGTCAAGCTTTTCTCCAAAGCACCCGAGGGCAGGACAAGAAGCAATGGATGGAAACTAATCAAGGAGAGAAGCAACCTAGAGAAGCAGGGGGTTGGACTAGAAGACCTCCAAGGTCCCTTCCAACTCTGCTATTCTATTCTATTCTGTTCTGTTCTGTTCTGTTCTGTTGTTCTGTTCTATTCTATTCTATTCTATTCTATTCTATTCTATTCCATTCCATTCCATTCCATTCTATATCCTATTCTATATCCTATTCTATTCCATATTCCACATTCTATATTCCACATTCCATTCCATTCTATTCTTATTCCATTCTTATTCCATTCCATATTCTATTCCATTCCATATCCATTCCATATTCCATATCCATTCCATATTCCATTCCATATTCCATTCCATCCCATCCCATCCTTTTATGGAGCCATAATGGAATATTCACTTCTGGACAACATAAGCACAGTTACAATCAAGAAATTATCTGAAAAATAGAGCAACATTCTGAAATATTTTATCTAAAAATTTTAGATGGTATGCTAATGATATTAATCCAGATCCCAATAAGCATGAGATTCCTCTGCCAGTACAAAAACATATTTTCTAATGATACCTCCATTTTCATAGCTGTCATCACCACAAGGGAGTCTCCCTTTTGAACTTTATCTCCAGGTTTCACAAACACCTAAAAATGGAAAAGCAAAGGAGAACTGAGTAGGGTGTTCCATTCCTCCCCAACGAACTTCATTAGGATTGCATTTCCTATAGACTCACAGATAGCAAAAGAAAACAAAATTATTCTCTGGGCAAAACCGAAGAATAGAAACCTGCTGCTTTTATTTTTGGAGCTTTTTTCCCCAGCAGGCTATTTAAAGATAATGCCTGTTCGATTGTCAACTCAAATATATTTTTCATTCTTTCATTCAATTTGGAGAGTCGCCCATGTCGTGCTTGTGACTCTGAGCAGCTCACATAATTATAACGAACAAAAAGATATCCAAAACTCAGTAAAATACCATAACTCCCTTTAAAAATCTAATTAAAAACTCACTTAAAATCAAAATTACAATGGAGAAAACAAAAGCAGGTAAATGAATGTCAGGAATATAGCAAATGTCAAAAGAAACCACAATCTGAATGCAGTGTTTCCCAATATGAGCCACTTACAAATGAATGGTGTTCAACTCCCAGAAGCTCAACGGCAGCCATGTTGGATGGGGAATTCTGGGAATTGAACTCCACATACATGGAAACTATCCAGGTAGTGAGGTAAGAAATGGTAAACAGCCTGAAATAAGTGGTGATATACTAGCCTTTCTGAATCATTTCCATGTCTTCCATACCCATTTTTTTTTTTAAAAAAGTACTTTTAACAAATGTTTCATAAGGGTCATGCTCAGAATTACCTTTTCTACTGTGCCTGTCATGGGAGCGACAGGCCCAATGTGATCCCCTCCTGAACTCTTGCTGGTTAAATATTTTGGCACTGGAAGACCAATCTGCTCATGACTTTCCTAGAGAAAACAAAATCAACCACGTCATATGAATTTTCCATTTGCAACTATTTAAAAACCTAAATAATTCCACAAACCATAAAAAAATATCTTACAATAGTTTAATGGGTGACTTCTTAGGATAAAAATAGTAGCCATTGATCTCCAATTGCATACTAGGACCGTCATAGCATTCCTTTTATTCATATAAATCAGACATGTCAAACACAAGGCCCGGGGGCCGGATGCGGCCCGTGAAGTGGTTTCATGTGGCCCGCGAAGCCATCCTGGAAACAGTGAGGGAACGGCCCCCTCTGCCTTGGCCCTGGCCCAGGCCAGCCGGGAGCCAATATACAATTTTGTGGTGGCCATCTATGCTGAAATGCATTCAGCTTAGCTCCATAAGCCCCCACCCCCCCGCATGGCCTGAGAGAAACAGTGAGGCTCCTCCAGTGGACCATGCCTTGGCGCTTGCTCTGGTCCCACCCCTTTCTGCCAGAGACCCTCAGATCTGTCCCACTCCTGCCCAGGCCCCCACAGGCACCCTTGACCCGAACGATGTAGAGCTGGCCACACCCACCCAGTAGGCCACACCCACTCCATCCACACCCACCCAGTAAGCCACACCCACCCTGGCCACACCACCCGGCCCCCTGAGGGCAACCGCAATGCTGATGCGGCCCTCAATGAAATGGAGTTTGATACCCCTGATATAAATAAATTAAAATTGCTGATACTGTATACAGATAGTTGACTTACAACCATTGGTTTAGTGATGGTTTAAAGTTACAGTGGCACTGAAAATAGGGCTTTATGACCATTTTTCACACTTACCAGAGCTGCCGCATCCCCATGGTCATGTGATCAAAATTCAGATGCTTGGCAACTGACTCATATTTATGACAGTTCCAGCGTCCTGGTGTCTTGTGATCCCCTTTGGCGAGTTTCTGACAAGCAAAGTCAATGGGGAAGCCAGATTCACTTAACAACTGTGTTTCTAACTTAACAACTGCAATGATTCACTTAACGTAAAATGGGGCAAAGCTCAATGAACAAATGTCTCACTTGGCAACATGAATATTGGGCTCAGCTGCGGTCAGATGTTGAGGACTACCTGTAATGTAAAAACTGTCAAGACAATGTGCTAACTTCAGAATAACTTATTTCCAAGCCTGCTTAGGCTTATTGATCTGCAAATGGTGGAAACAGTAATATAAAAGAAGAATCAAGAGGTGGGCAAGCAGGCCAGTTTGCATAGTTTTATATCCAGTCTGCTAAAAGTTGCAAGAAATGTGGAAGTTATTTCAACAGTACAGCCAGAGATTAGATTTTTGGCTCTTTTACCAAAAGAGGTAGCTTGGAAGTATTTAAACAAGATTAGTACCCTAAGCCATCCGAGGCCGAATGCACTTATTTTACAGTTTAATTCGACCAAAAAGACATTTATCCATCTAAATTGCCATTTTTACAACCAAATTCTGACAATGGAATCCCTAGGGTTGAATATGGCCTCTACGCCACCCTCCCTAACTGGACACATATTTTGGGTATGATGCATAAAGAAGATGTGGGGGAAATTTAAGTTTTGCTGGTTTATGTATGTATTTATTGATAATTCATATTTCTAAACTTCCCATCTCTTTCAAAGGGGAGCTCTGGGTGGTATACAATATAATACAGACAGTCCTCGATTTATGACCCCAATTGAGCCCAACATTTGTTGCTAAATGAGACGGTTCTTAAGTGATTTCTTTGCCCCATTTTACGAACTTTCCTGACACAGTTGTTAAGTGAATCACTGCAGTTGTTAAGTTAGTAACACGATTGTTAAGTGAATCCGGCTTCCCCATTGATTTTGCTCGCCAAAGGTCACAAAAGGGGATCACATGATCCCAGGACATGACAACCATCCTAAATATGAGCCAGTTGCCAAGCATCCAGATTTTGATCACGTTACCATGGAGACGCAGCAACGCTCATAAGTGTGAAAAATGGTCATAAGCCCCTTTTTTCACTGATGTTGTAACTTTGAACGGTCTCTAAATCAACTGTGGCAAGCTGATGATTACCTGTACAACCGATAAGTAAAACAATGTCGAAAAATTAATATTAAAACGTTTGCCATTAAAATTTAGAACTGAGATTTCAGGTAGCTTCGGGAAGTATAAAAAGGACTGTAGGCGAAGAGCAGGCAGAACGGGGGGTGGAATTAAGGGCGTCATCAGCTTAGAGTCATTACGTTGCCACAAGCCATCCAAGTCCCGCCCTCCTTGAATTCCGCTGACTTTTATCAAGCACGATTTAGAGCTGACCATTAGTTGACTAAATTCTTGTGTACAGGCGTGAGCAATAATCTGAATTGCAAGTTAACATTTGGTCCTGATCTTTTTGAGCATGACAAGGACCTGCATACTAGCCACAGCCAAAGATTCCCTATCTCCAATACAGGGCTTTTCAACCTTTTCACCCATTGTACCACTTTTAGGATATGGCAACATCCGAGTACCACCAGTCGCCTAGCAAGGTGTCAAAAACTTGATGACCAAAAAAAAAAAAAAAAAGAGGAAAAAAGCGAGAAAGTACAGGTAGTCCTCGACTTACAACAGTTCGCTTAATGACTGTTCGAAGTTACAATGGCACTGAAAAAAGTGCCCCCCAAGCCACAGCCGAGCAAGACACCTGCCTGCCCGCCCAGCGGCGCTCCTCCTCCTGTCCGAGGTTTTCATTGTTGTGAGCATTTCTGTTGAGGATTGGCAGCGGGGGTGGGGTGGGGGGTGTTTGGTTTTTATTCCCCCCATCTGCTGGGTGGTTGCAGCAGGCTTTGGTCACTTCACATGACCCTGGGACACTCTGACCGTCATAAATATGAATCAGTTGCCAAGCATCTGAATGTAAATCACAAGACCCTGGAAATGCTACAACATTCCAGCTGATTGGTGCTTCTTCAGGGCTCAGCAGAAGCACCAGGATCAGTGCCGAGCTCGATCCTGGCGCTTCCACTGAGCCCTGACAGCCCCGAAAAACCACCGATCAGCTGGAAAGCGGTACTGATCCTGGCGCTTCCGCTGAGCCCTGACAGCCCTGCAGCTCCAGCCATCTCTCGCTCAGGCTTGTGCGGTGCTGCCACCGGTTCAGCTCATTCCCCTCCCCCGCTACCGCTTTTCTAGGATGGTCGCGTACCACCTGCCAGGAGCCAATGTACCACAGGTGGTACCCGTACCACTGGTTGAAAAGCCCTGCTAATATTTACAGAAATAATAGGTTAGAAGTCAATGCTGCTTTTTTAAAAGTTAGTTTGTTGTTAATTTTATTCCCCATGCAAATAAAATAGAACATATTACCGACGAGAAGAGGTGGATGACAGTGTCCAGGACTACTAATTTGCACTGGTATACAACTCCATTCACTGAACATCTTATATATTCTATGCCATCATCCATCATCAGGCAACCAGAAACATGGAAAAGCTGATCTTCTATCTGAAATAGATTTACAAGAGTTTATGCGCCANTCCCCATGCAAATAAAATAGAACATATTACCGACGAGAAGAGGTGGATGACAGTGTCCAGGACTACTAATTTGCACTGGTATACAACTCCATTCACTGAACATCTTATATATTCTATGCCATCATCCATCATCAGGCAACCAGAAACATGGAAAAGCTGATCTTCTATCTGAAATAGATTTACAAGAGTTTATGCGCCATTCTAGAGGAAAATCAACCTGAGAGAGGAAAAATCACACTGTTTTCTAAGGGAATGTTTTTGAGGAGAAAAAACTGAAAAGAACAAAAACAAGGACAAAAATCCGTGTTTCTTAGAAATCAGACGCTTCTCAAGTCTTGTTTTCTCTTCCCTTTTTTTTCTGAAACTCAAGAAAATGTCAAAAATAACTTGTATTTTAGGAGAATCCCACTCAATTTATTTTTTAATGTATCTTGGCAGCTGCAATGGAGTCAATCAACTTTCTATGTTAAAAACATGTCCATCTGTTCAAACTATGTCATAAATCTTCCAATGCACTTCAGATGTTTTTCCTATCCACAAATCTGCACAAAATTAACTTTGAGAAACAGTGATGTATTTTTTTTTTAAAAAAAGAAGCTAAGTTTTATAAATCAACAAGGAAGAAATGTTTCTCCCTTCATACTATTATCTTTGGAAGCCAGCATATTTGGACTTATCATAAGCTTCCTTGCTCAAAAAATGCACAGTTGGAAAGCTTAAAAGGTTTCAAGACAGGGCAGAGAAGGAAAAAATAGAATAAACTCTGGATATATTCTTTCATGGGAAAGAAGAAAAAAAACTGGAAAGCAAAAAAAAAAAAAAGAGAGAGAGAGCCTTTTTTCCCCCCACTCCCATTTTTCTCTGCAAGCAAGTTGGGTAACTGACAACATTAATCAATAATGACACTCAATAAAAACAGCACAAAATAGTAACATTATTTCACAGTCACTGAACTGTTTTTCCCTCTTATTTCTGTCCAGAAATGAGACTGGGCCCAATAAATATGTGCTGTTACATTTTTGATACACTAGATCAGTGATGGCGAACCTTTTAGAGACCGAGTGCCCAAACTGCAACCCAAAACCCACTCATGCATCGTCGGGTGCCGGGTGGGCGCGGCCCATTGGGTGGGCGTGGCCCATTGGGTGGGCGTGGCTGCGGTGGTAACGGCAGACTGGGTGGGACTAAAAAGTTCAATCAATCAATTCCAACTTTGCAAGATCTTTTTTTTTCCCCGCGAGAAGTTGAAATTGACTGATTGATTGAACCTTTTTTTTTTTTTTGCACACGGCGGCAGAGGCCTAAAGCGAAAAGGTTTTATAAAACCCAGCTGAAGGCCTAAGACTGGGGCGACGGCGCACGTGCCCATAGAGAGGGCTCTGAGTGCCACCTCTGGCACCCATGCCATAGGTTCGCCACCACTGCACTAGATTGAATGGGCTGAATAACACAGGGCTAAAGTTGTTGAATACATTATTATGAAGAGGTTTACCAGCATGTCATAAGATCCATTGGGATTGTACTGTATGGCAATATTCACATCTGGTGTAAAAATAAAGATTTAAATTAATTCAAGGGTTAGAGAACATTATAAATCCAACACGAAGCATATATAGTTAACCTGACACATCAACAGTAAAGAAGTCTCGGTCTCTCTCACTATCCACTGTCTCTCCTATTTCATTTGCTGATTTTTGTATTCATTTATTCATTCATAAAATTATATGGTCACTCAACTCATAGCAGAGAAATGAAACCCCAATACGAAACCCAGTAACTCATAATCAATCTCAACAACTTTAAGACTGGTGGGCTTCAGTTCCCAGAATATCCCAACCAGTTTGCACAATAGGCTACTTCACATCCAACCTAATCACACATTTTATATCTTTTTGGCCTTTTCAGCTACACAATAACACAGTTAAGAAACTTTCATTATCATTTTGTAAGTAATTTTCAATTATTTATTTACAGTTCATCCACTTACTTTTTTCATTATCCAAGAGAGTGATGTTTCTAAGATAGGAGACATTTATTCGCTTGCCACTGCTGGATGCAAATGGAGAGAACTTATCTAGAATATTAAATATATACAGAAAAATATACATATTTAATACATATTTCTGCTGAATTGGACAATGCTAGCAATATCGAAACCTGCTTGCAATTTGATACATTACTTTGCCTAACGCTGCACGCAGGGAGACCATGTACACAGGAACTGCTCAGTACAAATTTGTTATTTGTGGGCAACTGTTCAAACTAGAATTTTCCATGCAACGAAACTGGGAACCTTTTTTTAATGCAAATTGCTCAAAGTCTCCATCTATGAGAATCAACCCTGGATCAGAACATCTATTAATGAATCAGACTCAAATGCTTGCAAAAACAAACTCTGAATCCCAGCAATTCAACCTACAATCAAATCTTGCAATTTGATGGTATGCTTATAAGGTTATGTGTTCTGTTCCATTTTGCAGCTACCCCAAGATAATCAAATGAAAAATAATTAAACAGGATGCACAGAAACACCGGCAGTTTTTAAAGTACACGAGTGTTTCTCAACTGGGGCAGCTTTTAAGATATGTGGATTTCAATTCCCAGAATTCCCCAGGCAGAGTGAGTTGAAGTTCACACGTCTTAAAAATTGCCAAGATTGA